TGAAATTGATTCATAAATCAATGACACAGAGCCACAGACTCCTGCTTTCAAGTTTATATTCAAATTTGAGCTTTATCTTGTGTCAAAGCATTTTTGAGTTCTTGTGCAAACGGTATCTTCTCTATTACAGAGATGCAAAAAAGCCCTCGGCGTAGGTATAACAAACCACTTCCCAGGTCCGTATGTAGTCTACTATTACCTACTCATAAACTATTAAAAGGGCGAAAATGATTGTTAATTGAAGCATTCTCATCGTAAGTGCATAATTAATTTAAGTTATGAAAATGTGATCTCATTCGAAATTAGTTTTATTTTCGCTTTCAATAAGTCATCAATTTAGAGCTGTGAATTATATGCACGAAAAAATGGTAAAATATGCGCATTTATGTGCAGAAGATTAGTGCCAAATATGCAAACAGGATATCCAAACATATGCAAAATTATACATCTTCCATATTTCCAAGAACAAAGGAATTAAGATAAACACTAGCAATAAGACGTTTGTCTAAGTTTTATGGCAAGAATGATTGCCTCCTGTCGCTAAGAATTAATTTTTAAGCACTAAGCAGAGAAACTTCTCTCTACATCAACAGAAGTAGGTATAAGAGGTGCATTAGCAAGGGCCGACAAAATATTAGGAGCAATTTCTAAAGCTCCCCCAATATCACCAATCAACACCGTAGAAAGAGAAAATAGTTTAGTTTAGAAATGAAGAAATTAAACGTCAATTAAATCAATAAATCTACCCTTCGGTTATTACAGTATGTTTCATGATCGCGCCCGTTACAAAAATCCGTAAAAATCTATTAAAAATTTAAATTAAAATCGATTAAAACAAGCACAAATGTAAATACGCAAGTAAAATATGCAAGTTTATAATGTAAAAGCATAGAATAACAAAATACGCAAAAATAAATTGGGTTTAATCGCTTCAAAATGTTGAAAATCGAAAGTGCACAAAATCTCATCCGAGTGCAACCAAAAATAAACGATATGCATTTTGCATGTATTCACAGCTTTAGCTCATCATACATCTCCCAAGCTGAATCATTCTCTTGCATAATTTGCAATAATGGCCCAGGACTGTTTGTTAAAATGTTGATAAAAGCGTGACAGATCTTAAAAGTTAAAAGTAAGTATTTTCCTTTAATTCTTATGATTATTGGTATGTCAGACAGTTGCAAGTCTTCGGCTTTTTCTACATTTAAAAATATGAAGTAATGGAGCAACTGGATTTCCGCATATTCCACACGGTACTTCATCCAGGATGCAAAGATAGAATAGCTACCTCTAATCGGTCTAATCGATTGTGGTCACATTTTACTAGCACTTGGGACATATCTACTCTTCTCTTGCACAGTAAAAGTCGTTACAGACCTTTTGCAATGCATTGAGGACATTGTCGTTACATTTTACTAGCGTATTGTCAAGCTTATTATTCTTCATTTCATCAATCCATGTGTTAATAGAATTCCCATTACGATCACCAGACTCATCTGCAAACTCTTCGTTTTGTATAATTATAACTACTCTCGCATTTTCGCTTGGACGACCTTCATCTCCGGTTTCATAAGCTTCTTCGTTAATTCCTGCTATAAGCCTCTTCAGTAATAATTTAGAGGCTTCACTTCGAAGCTCTTCAATCTCCATTTGCCCATTTTCCTTCATAATAACTGCTGCATGTTACAAGTAAACTATCAATGATAGCTGGTGCTCCATCTAAGTTCTGATCAGGCAGGCTAAAACTTTCATGTAAAACAATTATGTGATAACTACGTTACGATATAGATATATACAGAAGTCTTTCTTGAGCCGAGTAATATTGGTATAAATATCTAAAATAGGTAATCATTTTATCATCGAGTAGTTACGTTATGTATGTTCGCACCATGATCAAATTATTGTGTCTGCCCAGTCTTTTATTTAGCAACAGGAAGATGGAGCATCTAATATAATAATACTATGCCTCAAAATTTGTAATGTATAGCTTTCTAATTGATAAAAAAATAACATAATTCCTCAGCAACGGTTAGTTCTAGAGAGTATCAAAGGCATTTTTTTAAATAATGAGAATGGAAAAAGCTACCTCATAGTCAGTGGCGTATTAAGGGTCAACAACGCCCTAATCCCTATCGGATTTTGCGCCCCATATCAGACACATGATTTTTTTAGTAGTCAATAATAAACCAACTTTTACGAAATTATCAAGACATAAAATAAATACATTGACATAGAATATAAAGCGTACCCTAACGTACATTTAATTACGTGATTTATTTATTTACAATTAATTAACAATAAATTTATGACAGTCTTGAAATGAATTGTGTTATAACAGTTAAACTATTATTTATCACAGAAATATATACAATTTCTAACAGCGCGAACTATTTAATACTTCGACGTTGAAATTGGAACTGACTGAAACACAATTCGATTTGCTTATATAGCATACGCCCCTGTTTCTCGAACGTTTTTGAACACTTCCAAACCAGTATTAATTCTAGAATGTTCTCGAACAAAACACGTCATATTTCCCGGAGAGAATGCGACACATTGTTACCACCTTACAAACGGTTACATCCGCATTCGTTTCCTATCGCCGATGGCTAATCTTTTATGGCTATCGGGATTTCTAAAATATTCGCTACTTCAACTTTTCCTCTTTCAAGATAAATGGAGAGAAATTCTTGTACTCACACAGTACAGTATAATATACTGTGTGTCCCAGGTTGAACGCACCATAAGGAAACAGAGTTAGTGTATTTTTTCGCGAAGGATCCACGAAGCGTTTGATATGTATTTGAAGTTAGCGTTCAACGTACGTTATTGCACTTGTCTGATGCTAAAAAGAGATTGGAGTAGTGCGTTTCAAAGGTCTCATGGATCCTTCGCGAAAAAATACATCCCCGTTTTCCTATGTAGTGACTTATCTGAGACACACTGTATAAATACGTAGTTATACAGGGTTTCCTGGACGGAGCTATAAGAAAAAATTTGAAAATTTCGGAATCAAAAAAGGGAGAGATAACGGGCCGTAAAAATTGCATTTTAGATAGTTTAGAACTTTCGTATACTAGGGAGTTCTGTTGGAGGATAATAACCGCAAAATTTTTCAATTGCAGCCCTAGTCGAGTTTCACCAGAAACGTATTCCCGATCTTACGCCACTTCGATTTTTTCTTTTGAGGGTTTGCAAAAATTAGAGTGTAATCCAGAATCCAGAAACAATAAATGATTCGAAGAAATCCCCAATATCGCTAGGGATCTGCTTCAAAGGGTTCAAAATTTGTTATGTTATTATGTACACTGTGGCTCAGAAGTTTCAATTATCGGAGTGGTACTGGTAAATATCCGGCTCGCTTGGATGCGGGGATGCTCCATCTATGAGCGTGCTAGACTGCTACGTATCCTGTCTCGCGGCGCGCCGCAGGGGCCTTACGATACGTTAATCTTTAATGAGCATTTTTTGATTTTTCATATAATGTTTTGTTCATTCCCTTCTTTCGCCTCTATAAAATTCCGGCGCCCTAAGTACGGGCTTTGTCGGCTTATAGGTTATTACGCCACTGCTCATAGTCTCAAAATTCTGAGAAAAAAACGATTTTTTCACGTTCCAGAAACGTCTATGTATAGCAAATGGCAAAAACGTGTAAGAACTTGGAGAACGTAGCGTCCTGTCTTATCGAAAGACCGGCGTTTGTGTGCAAGTAGATTTCCGCGAAGAACTCTCTTGTCAATCACACAATTGAAATTTTTCTAGGTTTTCCTCACCGTAATTTTCTTTGTTAAAAATTCACCTTTCTCAGTTATTATTGTTATTTATCGTTTGACACCACCCTTCAAGTCATTTACCTATAACTTACTGCAATTCTTTCACCTGCTAAATAAACTTTAAGCTCTTGAATGTTGACGTACGATCATCTTTCATTCTCCAGGAATTACAGTACAGTAATTATTGAAATGCAGAATAGCTGATATCTCCCATCGACCGGGTACTAAAGCTCTGTAAATGGCGGGTTTATACAATGATTATCATTAGTTCACTATCAAAAATCGTTAAGAAATAGCCAAGAGAAACAAAGGTTTATTGCGCGTTGCGAACCAACGAAACCCTCCTGAGCTTAGTGAACTAATGATAATCATCCCTGTGATGTATCACCAACGCTAAACTTGCAGGTTATCTGTAGAAAACGTCATTTTGCTCATAATAAATAACGCAAAATTTTTGCTAGATAACTTGCACGTTAAGTTTGACGTTTCTGATACATCACAGGGTTGAATGATTGTGTAAACCCATTACAAACGTTATCAAAATCGGAACAAAACAAAAAAGTTAATTGAAGTAAAAAAAGGGTTCCAAATAAATTTTGGTCACCGCATATTATGAATTTAGTAGTCGTTTTGAGAAAGACGAAGTGTTTTACATAAAAGTTTACAGGATTCCAAATAAACCTCTATGAATAAAAGATATGATTACCAGCATTGATTTAAAAATAATCTTTTAATCAATGTTAATGCTATTGTTGGTGTTGTATGTTTGTTTTTCAACCTTTGAAGGATAAGAGGTTGAAAATGAAAGGCATAGTAAACCAAATTATTCAAATAGGGCGATGATTATTATGTTTAGAAATAACACAATCTTTAGATTTAGGTGAGGATCCAAACGATAATCGTTCGAAGGCAGTTTTTGACTAAAATAATCGAGTAAGTACCTACTTGATTCAAGTATTTGTAAAATGAGTACAATACATCGCAAAAAAGAAGTTTTCTTAGCAGAAAACGGCGAAGCTAATCTAAACAGACGCATTGGCCATAGGATAGCCAGTGTTACTTAATTACAAAACATTAGAAAATCAATTTAAAAGCTTTCCTGTAGTTAATGGGCTCGTAATGGAACGTAACTCCATTACTGACTATAAGTAAGGCTATTACACATTATAGCTGTTTTTACAGGTCAACATGCTTTGAGTTGACCCCTGAGTTGACCAGATGACTTACCTATAAAATTGAGGCGGTATCGAGACTGGTCCTTTGGGAACCTCCGTTTGGTGTCGCGTGCGAAATCGTAACCTAGTATCGGAACTAACTGGTACAGGTATGGCGGATTTAAAACTTTTCTGCCACAGCCCGGAACGGATCGATGCATCTGCAGAGAATCGTGTTAAACCATCAATCATCACTTGAGGACACTTACCCGAGTTTGAGGAGGACGTACTTCCCGATTGCGTTATCACGTTGGTGCGTATCAGATCGGAAGAACCGCTTTTGTGCAGATCTTGAAAGTAATTATTTTCGTTACTGACGGCAATAAACCTTTCCCTTTCTTCGTTCTTGGTGACGTTCTCCACTTTTCTTTTGGGCGGTGAGTACGATCTGCCCCTGGGCGATCGTAGCGCCTTATAACTCTCGGCCGAGTTTGTGGAATTGGTCTGATGAGCTTCCCTCTGTATTAAATATAGCGGTCGCAAAGTGCCTGTAATTTTATTAGTATCGACCAAACAAAAGGGAAGGTAATTTAGAACTTACCGTTTGCGGTTGATAATTTTACAGGTGTTGATAGGGTCCATGGGTCCACGGCCCAAATTTGTATGTTCTCGGATTTGGGATCATCCTGAAAACATATCTGTTAACATTTTCACTTAAGGCAAAGTTATTTACCGAAAAGTAATGATTTAATACTACCGGCCGTAGTGGTAATAGTCGGTAGAGCATCATCTCGTTAATTTACATAGTTATAACTTGTAGGAATAGCTTTGGGTACCGAAAGGATAATGCCAAGTTAAGCATTTTTGGTTGCAGCTGATTTGAAATGAAACGCGTTTGTTTACCGGAATTGATCGAAGCCAGACGTCGCCACAGGTACGGCGCCGTGTCCTTTTAATGACATTGCATGTAAAATTCGTTTGACGTCACACCTAATATGCAAACGGTACGAATGAGTAAGAAGTTTATCAGAAAAACCGACCTTTACAGTCGAACGGTGATCGAATACTACCCCGAATGCGGGAAGAATGGGTGGAAGAGCTCAATATCCTTCGATTATTTAAATTGATGGTGTACGTGCAGCACATAATCGTCAAATGGAAATACATTAAAAGGAGATTAGTTTTTTACTGCCATTATTGCGCTCAAGACTAATTAGACATCAATAGTTATACTACAGACATTACAATCAAAACGAAAGCCCTACCCCGATGTCTCCCTAATTGAAAGAAAATAGAGTCCTTCCACTACAGATAGTCAACGTTCTCCAATTTATTACCAAACTAAGGTGGATTCCTCTTTTCAGTAGGAGGTTTCTTCCTATGACTTGGTTTCAGATGAGATAGGGTAGGTACGGGTATAAAACACAATTTACTTCGTACCTACATATGTTAATGATATTCCGATGAGGTTTTTTATCTCACTATTGAGTGACATGTTAATAACAGAAGATTAAATGCTACAAAGTAGGTTTCCAGTTTTGCGAAACTTCGGTCCAGCAAATCAAGCGCGTATAATTAGTAACAATTAATTTTAATGAGTTAGGTACAGAAAACCCATCGTTTGGTGTTATCTCACAAGAAGCGCGCTTAAAAAACTTGAAGTCTGATATCCCTTTTTCCGATAACGACAGGCCGAGTATTTAATTAAAAAAGTTTTAATTTTTGAACGCAGTATAAGGTACGCGAGCGTCTCGGAATTTCTTATACTATAAGTACCGTGTTAATCTCTATCATTGCCCTAAATTCATTGTGCATCCGTACCGTTGTATTTTTTTTGCATTTTTTGGAACTTTTGGCTACCGCTCCGTTAACTTCAAGGTGAGCTTTTAGTTACTTTCCGTTTCGTCAGTTTTAAGGGTGCAATATTGTTTGCTTTTCAACCGTTTCACCGATTTTTGTTTTGTTACCTTTGCTCCCGCTAGGGAATTTGCCGTAATTTTGTTTCAGTTTTGCCGAAGTGACCCGTCCGATTCCTGGCTGCCGTTTCTCCAGTTGCTTTTACCCGAGGCAACCGACATGTACCCGCCAGACTGTTGGTACCGCCGACCTCGATCAAGGGCGAAATTTTTCGCTTGGTTTCACCCGAGTCCGTCTGTCCATTTCTGCCGTTTCTTGCCGCCGTTCCTCCTTCTTTTGCCGACAAGTCAGGTTGTCGCGGACTGCCGCTACTGTAGCTGCTAATTAATATAATTTGTTTATTTATTTATATTTATTTTGAAAGTAAACTGAAATTATTATTCCGCTAAAATTCTTTAATTTTAAAGCTCATCGCTTGTGCGCGGACTACCCCAGTTCGTCGCAGTAGAAGTGCCGCACTCGACTTAGAATTGTACTCTCGAAACCTTTCATCAAATAGTTAAATGGCTAGGAATCGTTAACCTCAGAATAAAATTGTTCTCGAAACCTTTGTTAATGCTTTTTCTATTTGAGAGCATTAATATCACTGTAGGGTTACCTATTCCAAGCACGGAGTCTAAATCCTCTTATTTTACTCACGGTGCAGTAAAATAATACGAAAGTTTTTTTATACCTTAATTCGCGATTACGGCAAAAACCCTCTCGGTGCTTTTAACCGGCACGTCTTTGGTCTAAACTCGGATGTGTTTCTTTTCTGTGGTCTATATTTAGTCTGTTTTATTGCATAATAATGCGTTATTGTAGCCTAATATTAATCACGTAACCCACTTGCAAATATTAATTTATCTTGGTAAAATCAGCGTATATTCACCTGAAACGGCTAGTTTGACCGTGATTACGACGTGAATTAATTTAAACTTTATCGGGGACCCGCATAACGAATTAATTTTAATTTTCTCTCTTCTCCATCTTCTCCAAAACCAAACGCCACACTTGTGACTAAGCACGGTGGTGGTAATTAAGTCCACCATGTTTTTTAATTTCGCCAATAGGAATCGTTACATTCACAAAAGCACAGAAGAAAAAGATTGGGCCAACTATCGAAACCCCGTTGACTAATCTCCTTCGGATCAGGAGGAAATATGGTATAACTCCTAGAAATCTTGGCGCTTGGCGCGAGAGGTTTCCGAAACCCATTCAGAAACAATGTTCCATAGAAATTAAACGACGCACAAAAACACACCCCATTTGCACTGAAGTTTCAGGGACAGAAGGCAGTGATAACGAAACAAAAATCAGTATTAGAAACTGAAAACAAATTTGACTAGTACATGCACTTCACTCGTTTCGTAGGGGGTGACTTAATGAAATCGGGGGTCTCCATTTTCGTTAAATAGTGAGGTTACCGCCGTCGACAATGACTCTTGGTCAACGCAGAATTTGCAAAGGGTAGATCAATGTAAGTCCTCCTTTCACCAGCCACACGCCCCCATACAGCCAGTTGTAATGAAGTGGTCTTGAGCAATTTTAGAGGACGTCTCTACTCATCCTATTGGGTTCCAGCTTCAATCCCCATCCACTCTAGGACCTGGTGGTATGTCCTCAAGAAGTGGAAATGTGCTGCGTCAGTGGCCGGGGGGTAGTTTAGCCAGATTAAGTTTGACGTGGTAATTGTCATTAATTTTCTAGGGAGCTCAACGCTACCATACAGGGTTACCAAGATTTTCTTCCCTCCCGCTGATGTTTCTTGGGGACTGGCGGCAAGATCATCGAACCTCTTCGCCTGCTCCAGCAATGATTGGTCTTTCCTAAGGAGTTGCCAGAACTGTTTCTTTCCAAACCCGAAAATGTGGTGGTGTCACAGTCCGATATTGAGTGCAGGAGCGAGATACAGCCTTTGAAATTGTACTTATTGTTGTATATATTATTTAAGTTACTTATGTAGTAGTTAGTAGTGGTTAGTAGTATGTAACGTGACAGGATGCTGTAGATGTAATATCACAAAGGGACATAAACAAACATTTCAATCTGAGAAAAAATCAACAGACATTGGTGTTCCCCAGGGCTCGGTGCTGGGTCCCACATTATTTCTCTTCTACATCAACGACATTACTCCTCACCTTGGTGTCGGTATAGCACACTTCCTATACGCGGACGATACCTCCCTATTGCTTTCAGATAAGAACGAGACACAACTCGAAAAATTATGCAACGAGAACCTTGACAAACTACACAACTGGTTCAGCAACAATTCTCTGGTATTGAATGGAGGGAAGACTAATTTTGTTAGATTTCATAACTTCCAAAAACCAACAAATATATTGACTTTAAAAATACAGGGTGAAGAGGTGCAGCATGTACACGAAACCAAATTTTTGGGACTACATATTGACTACAATATAAATTGGAAAAAGCACTGTGAAAAGCTGGCTGCTAGGCTGAGCTCCTTAAATTATCTGTTTAGAAATTTAAAAAATGTTATAACGCTCGCGCAATTAATAAACATTTACCATGCTCTGGTGGGCACTATCCTTCGATACGGGATATGTTTGTGGGGCACATCTACTTACTCTCACGAAGTTCTTGTTGCACAAAAACGCATTATTAGGACGATTGCGAATGTTTCAAAAATTCATACATGCAGGAATCTTTTCAAACAATTCAACATTTTATCTCTAACCAACTTATACATTTTAGAAACATGCAAACTAATTTTCAGATACTCACATACATTAAATAAAAACAAAGACATTCATAATCATAATCTCCGCGACAACGACTTTTACAGAATTCCGCACACCAAATATAACATTGGCTTGAGCTCACCCTTTGTACTGGGAGTAAAAATGTTTAACAAATTACCCGAACAAATTAAATGCTGCAATACACTAAATAACTTTAATAAGAGATTACTTCTATACTTAAATAATCACTGTTTTTACAATATCAAAGAGTTCCTTGCTTAACTGTGATATTATTTGTCTGTTAGTAATTATATGTGTATTTGACATGTCCTATACCTACCACGGTCCATGGAATAAAAATATTATTATTATTATTATTATTATAGATTATTAATACACGGTCTTCCTCTAAACTGAGATCGTTATTTATCAAAGTATACAACACCACTTATAGGGTCAGGCGGAGAAAATTGCGTATTCCACCCGCTGATTTTTGGTGTAGTCATTTTTACCGCAGTAGGACGAGTCGGTCAGTGTTTTCCCCGGTAGTTATCAACCTACCAGCATATTCAGAGGCTTGGTCTGTGGCTATGATTGGACATGAAGTTATCCTGAGGTGGCGTTGACGTTCTTGCGTATTCAGCAGTCTAATCCTGGCAAGTTTCTCCAAAGATCGTGCTTCTGTTCCATACAACATTGTGCAGAAGGTATCCCCCATCAACAACGACCATGTGGAAGTAGTGGGAAAGCTGCGTATGTTAAAGATTTTGTCCCTTTACGCATACCGTTCTCATTAAACGAAGACATGGGGAATGGTGCGAGTTCATACGACAGGTAATCCTGCAGACTTTCTGTCAATTGTTTCGCGTCATCGTTTTCCTTCATCGAGTTTTTCTTTCTTTTTTCTCCTGCGCCTCCTACCACTTGATTTTGGTAGCAATTAACCTGATCACTTCTCACTACTCCAGAGTTAATGTTAATAATTAAATAAGTTTCAAGGAAGGGTGAGTGTTTGGAAAGCTAAGTAGAATCCCCACGTCGTCGTGAGCGTCACTATTCATCACGTGCTGTTCCGAAGACTTCGATGTCACGTTGCTGTATTTCTTCATTTCTTGAGAAATTATGGTCATCCTTCATGCTCAACTGCCGGATCAGAACTTGTGTGATCTTCGAACAGTGAAATGACCCTTCGTGATGAACTTTTGAAACTCAGCGGCTAATTTCTCTTACAGAAACAGCATTTCTTGCATATACAGTGATATTTATTAAGAAGTAGACATAGGGATTTACGTGTATGGCTATTCCTTCTCCCTCTTTTAAAGAGTGCCTAATTTCATGCATCCAAAATAACTGCTTGAAAAAAATAAAGATCTGGATCGCACATGAAAGAAAATAAAAATACGGAAGCCAAAGAAACAATATTCATATTAATTATTAATAATGGCATCCAGGTGTTTATTTGTTTTAAAAAGTTGTTTTGGTTGCATAAAATTAGGCGCCCTTCAAACGAGATTTTGTCTTTTATAGGTCGACATAGGGAAAAACAATGCACGTAATTCCATATGTCTACTTCTTAATAAATATCGCAGTTTCTACATAAAGCCAGTTTGGCAGTTTGCTCTCTTTGCTTCAGGTTTAGATTTGGCAGTAATTGGTTTGAATTCTTCACATTTGTCCGTTTCTAAAATGACGTTTTTAAGTTCTGGATTGCCATCGTGGCGAATTTCATGGGATCAACCCTTGTGCTTGATACTATCACATTTCTGTCGAGCGGCGAGGAGAGCTGTTTATATAATGTTGAGATTTCTTGGTTGAGGATTGATGAAGGGAAGGTAAACCGCTTTAGATCGTTATAATTTTCTTCAGATGTGGCTTTTCCCATGAATCAATTCCATCCCAGCCCAGCACATTAGTAACTACAGAATGTCAGTTGCCAATGAATGGGGGACAAGCCATCAAGATCTTTGATAGCCACAGTTTTCAATTTCAAAAATTGACATTCTTCAGAATCCTCAAAGAATGACTATTATCTTCCATCGCCGTCTCCACTGTGGGGTACGGCCTACAGCCTTCCTCTGAAGGCATATGAAATAACCTCCTCTAACAAAGATAACGTTATTGTGCGTCAGTCGCAACGCTGTCCAGATCAGGACGAATGTGTCATCATTCGTCTGTTTCTGGACCGTACTTAAAAACGTGTCCCTTATCAAGTGCATCTGGAATATGGGAAGTAAATTCAAATTTCAAACTGATTTTATCTAAAATAAAGTACCCGTAGCCATTTTTAATCCGATTCTAGTCCCAAGTTCGATCTGTACAGCTTTTGGTTTGAACGTTTTAATTTTATGTTTCAGTTTTAAAGCAATTGGCTTTCCCTGTCAATGAATATCAAACTGCCAAATTTGGGGTTCAATTTCAAAGTTCAAGCTCCAACTGAAAGTCTAAGGTTTAATGTTGTCTGTTGAGTTCAATAATGTGACTCAGCACAAGGTTGACAGGAATTTTAAATTTTATTGAGAAAGACCAGTGCCATAATTTTGATATTGAGTGCCTAGTTTTGGGTTTTCTTTATTGGTTTAGATTTTATTTGTCGTTAAAAGTTCGATGAACCTACTCACCAACTCTGACTCAACAGAGTAACTGTGACTCTTTTAAATTCTAGAGACTGGTAAGGATCACATACTACAACCAACCGTCTCCTATTCTTCATCATTAGGTTTCCTCGAGTAAAAAAAGGACTGGACCGTTTGCGCAGAGTATGCGGGACAGCAGTTCTGTGTATGGGAGAGGAATAAAAATCGACCATCTTATGTCCACCTTCCGAAATAAAGTTTGGGAATACAGGAAGAGGACCTTTTTTAAGATAGGAGTGTCGTGACTGTAGCTTCACGCTGATGTTCATCGTATTCGACAGAAGTAAATGTGCATAACCCATATGGTAACGGCTTCAGAAAAAAATAGATAAAACACTATGAGTAGATAGAAAGTATATCACCAAAATTCAGCTGATCAAGGAATTCCCTTAGTGCGTTAAAATTATCGAATGCCGTAATCAATTTTCTCTGCCCCAAATTATGGAATCATAAGATAAATTGTGTCACCCTTAAGAAACGTTCAGTTATAGGCAACCCTTATTGCACGCATGTTGTACGAACGGCATATCATACCCTGCACGGTCCTTCCGCTTTTAAAATAATTCTCCATTGGATTATAACTGTTCTATTGTACTGTCTTTTCAACTGAAATCTGTACTGCATGCTAGCAGATCCCAATCACGCGTTTCTTCCAAGACGGTGATATTTTAATTAACGATCTGATACTATCTTTAATCCATTCTGTCATTGGGCGGTCAGTTCCAAATGATTAACTAGCACCCCGAGTGTTTTATGTGAAATATCAAAAACCAGTCAAGTTTCTACAGGAAATTTCAATTTTTGTAACCAGTAATTTATGACAGCTTATCAGATATAATATCAAAAACCTGATTATAAAAATAAATAGGATTTCGCGCAGCACCAAAGGTGAAGGTGAGGTACTTTGTCATTTCGCAAACATTACGTGCGCTTTTTAACACTTAAGATTATCGGAATATTGCAAGAACGCAAATATTATGCAGCGGAAAATATAATATTTAGTCACGTATACTTGTACCTTAACATCGTTGGATTCTCGTGACCAGTCCGATTCTTCTTCTTTTTCAAAGCTTGCAGTGTTCTCATTGTGACGTGCGTTACTTTTCCAATAGTTAGCAACCTTGGCTGGGTCAAGCTTTAAAGGAGAAGATACGGAGCTATCTGTGCTTTGGTTGAGTATATTGTGCTGTGTGCACAGAGGTGATGGTGTCGCACTTCCAATGGAGATCCATTCGAGTTCTGATTCTCCGCTGGGCGCTGAGTAACTTACACTTCCGTTTAGATCAACCGCTGGTAACTGTCTTCGTGCCAATCTGAAAGATGTTAAATAAGTGCAAAACGACCATACAGTTGGCATGCTTTTATTACTGCGGTATGGAGAAGTCTTCGACTTTAAGATACCTACGCTCATAATACATGCAAATATTTGTCCCGTACAAAAACCGGACATTCCGAATCAATACGGCATTTAAATGAGGTCATTTAAGACCCCTAAGAACAGCGGAAAAAACTAGAAGTAATCACGCGAACCTTTAACCCCAAAAAAATGTAAAAACGTAATTGCTGCTTTGGCAACACTTGTGAAGTCAATAGCACACTAACACACATTTATAAACCTACCTCGCTCGCACGACTCGTTTAAGTTGCTCCCTGTCCGGATACTCAGCGGCCGTTCTTGAGACAATTTCCAAAACTGTATTTGTGGTTCCCAGTTGAGCTAAGCTCGCTATTGTCTCTAAAGATGCACGACGGACTCGCTTCTTTCGATCTCTCAGTAAAGGTGTTACAAATTCGGTGGCTTTTGGCACGTTAATTTCGGTACTAGGGAAAATTCGACTTATCGTCATGAGGATTTGTAAAGCACCTTCTCGTATCTGAAAATTTAAACGATGATAGAATGTATACATTCTTAAAATCTAATTACGGCATACGAAGCTATTTTAAATGATGGTTCTGTGACACTTTCAGGTCAACTATTGGCTACCATTTGGCGTTTCATATGCCTTTAATCGATACGGTTGTAATTTAATGTGCATAGCGTAAATCCACCTTGAAGCAATATTCATGTTTGATGCGCTACCACAATGCACGATTACACTTCAGATAATAAAATTTGAATGAGATAAAGAACATAATAAATCACTTTCGTGATTAATTAAAGGTCAGGAATTAAACGATATAGGTGCTCCGTACAGATTAGTAACATCAAAATATCTGGAGGAATTAATAAAACAATTCATCTCAACAGCTTTGAAATTTGAATGGAGGCACGTAAACTCTGCAACTGCATTGATTCTGTAACGATGAATTCGAAAGCTTCCCTCCCCATTTATAAATCAAAACAACCGAATATCTGCTTGATTGCCCTTTGATTAATTGTAATTATGGCTTATTAATTTGAACAAACAAAATTACCTTACTGCTTTTGGCTCCAAGTATACTACTACTGAATAAATGATCCAAAAATTCCTCCGCCGTAATACGCCTCATCAATAAAATACTGAGCCTCACGCCCGCCGGTGATCCCATCTTACACAAAGCGGTAACGATTTGTCCAAGACGGCCTTGTAGCTGCTCAATTGAGGCATTAGCAAAAATAATCTTCAAAGCGTCCTAAAAATGACCCTCAACCAAACTTTATTATAATAAAAGCTTACCTCGGCCGCCGTTTGTAATCTCACGTACTGCTCACATCCGAAAAGGAAAAAAAGTAGCGAAGATATTTTCGGTTCCAAGGCCTTGACTGTGTTCGGATTTTGTAATGATCGGTTTAAGTCCTCCAGACCCTTTAATCGCATCCTCCAATCATCCTTGAAATAGAAAAGACGGAATATTAAAACGTGCCCTTTCGTGTGCGAATCTGGTTCAAGTTCGTAAGTGAAATTTTATTGGTGGTCTTTCACGATTTTCCGAAAAAAATTAAACGGTGAGGTCAATATTTATGAGTGTAAAGGTTACAACGTTACTTTGATTGATGCCATGGAAGGCCTTTTGAAGAGGTTAAAACTGTATTTACAACGCGAGTTGTAGAAAATGTAACCTAGTTTACCTATGAAATAAATCACGCTAAAACAGCTGGTCAGTTTAAGGGTTAGTTTCATTTTCCATGCTCGGGGAACTATCACTTTCGCCGTCCCACTAGTAACAGTGATTAAGTTTGTAGAGTGTTGCATGATGTGCCATTCTAAACCACTTTTCTTTGATATGTTCATGCCAATAATTAATGTAGTTCGTCTTTTCGCAGGCAAAACGCTTATTCTAATTCCAGACGATATAAGAAGCTTATAAAAATTAGAATAATAATTAGTATGCATGAATTTTTAAATAGTCAGACAGGAACTGTGTTTTATTTAATATACGCCGATTGTACGGGGTGATAAGCAAACATGCCAAAATTAACTTTTTCTAACATTGATTATTTCATTATTTATTCAGGTTAGCGGGTGTTGGGCATTCTTTGAACGTTCGAGAGCTTTGCTACCTACCTATTCATTTACTAGAAATGTACGCAAACAATACTGATTGAACGGTACTCAACCTTTAATCAAATTAAGTGTTACTTGGAAGTTCTGGCTCACTCAAATCGTGATCCTTTTAGAACCTCGAAGATTCACTAATTGTTACAAGCAAATTGATTGACGTTGTCTTTATAAGGTTGTCCTGCAGGATTCCAACCGTGTTAACCTTGTCTAAGTCAAGTAAACAAGTTACCAATTACTATATTGTTTTGGGTTGCAATGTTTATAGCCATTTTCAAACACGAAGTTGCTCGGGTGCATTTCCCATCATACTCTTTAGCTTCCAAATGTAATATATTCGCATGCCCAATTAACTGGTAGTTGTAAACGCCTTNCCTTAGTATTATCGATAGTTAGGTACCTAATACATTGGCAACTACAACAATAGAAATCGTTCAAAACTGTAATGAAAAAGAGCACAAACACCACCTGAGCTAGTTAGGTAGTAATCTTCAACTTCAACACTTGTATCTTGTATCCTATTGGCTATTGCATCTATGGTGCTAAAATGAAACTCACATTGCAGTAAGGAATAGGGATGTAAAAACCCTGCAATACACTTCCAATCTAAGTAAAAAGTATTTATAAAATTCTTGCTCGCTGGCGTGCATTCATGGAATATAAGTGAGGTTACGTTGTATTTTGTATTCCTTTTAAATAGACCATGACATTTGACACTTGACAGTTCTAATTTTTAGTTCGAAGTTCGAATATTTAGAACCAAATCAATCAGAATCTATCAATCTTTTATCAATTATATTCAAGTCGTAGAAAAAGTATAGTACATAATTCGAGTGCTAATGCCTATTACGCACTCGATTTTATTACAACACTCGCTCGCTGCGCTCGCTCGTGTCGCAAAATACTCGTGCGAAATAGGCTTCTTAGCACACTTATTATGCAATATACTATTATGTCATACTTGATCATTATTCAGGTATAATAATCCTAAATCAAGATATATTAAATGACAAATAATGCACTCCACCATGACAACCCCAATTATGCGTAGCAACGGGCGTTATTTCTATAACGCCCTTGGGCGTTATGTAAATCCTATAAATATGGAATAATGAATCTATACGAACTTTTTATTTTCAACAACTAAGTAAAAAGAACTGTGTTGATGTCGCATTATCCATTATTCTTTGAAGTAAAAAGAACCATTCTGGAAATGTCCAGAGAACACCGCACCAGCTTGGCCCAGACCCATACATTTTCTTTCCTCTTTGTACATCAGATACTGCGGATCAGGTGCTTCTGTAAGAAAGGCGACTATCTGTTCGCGAGTAAGGATTTTTGATTTTTTTGGACGATAGCTTTTCTGAACTTGTTTTAAATACCCTTGTAGCTGCACAAATTTTTCGAAACTCTTATAAACTTCTTCTTTACCATTAACTCTTTACGTAGCATTGCAAATTTCGTCCAAAGCGAATTGGGGGAAAATGACTCTGACTGTAAATCACCTTTCCGATTAATGACTAATAAAATTACTTAAACATACCAACTCTTTGAAGTAACCCAACATAACGGTTTCGTTTATTGCCTCCACAGAATTACTCACCATCCATTTTTCAAAAGTAGCGTACTCTTTTTTATAAGAGGATTTCTCGCGCAAGAACGTGTGCCTGGTAAATGAGACGCTTCGTCTGCCATTTTTCAGAAAGTTTTTAGAATGTTTGACAAATATAATATCTATCTCCATAGTTACGACCATGGATAACTTAATTTTGATGATTCTCATTATCTTCTCTTTTAATCATCTGTCACCGCTAATTCTTGGAAAATCTTCAAGTATGACATAAAACGTTGAAGGCACCACGGGCGTTATGAACACAACGCCCACGGTCAACGTATAACCCTCGGGCCGGAGGCCCTCGGGTTCTACACTGTTGACCTGGGGCGTTATTTAGTTCATAACGCCCTTGATACCTTAATAACTATNGGTGGTACACGAAATATTTTTGTTTGTTTCGCCGATTACGTTTAAATGATATGCAAAGCATCCCCCAATTGCCTTCTAAACATAAAATCTCGCCCCTCTTTCAAGTTTCAAATTTTTTTAGGAACATTTTCTAATGCATGTAGAGCAATTCTCTATTGCGGGGGTTGTAACTTTCGTGGTACACGAAATATTTTTGTCTGTTTCGCCGATTACGTTTAAATGATATACAAAGCATCCCCCAATTGCCTTCTAAACATAAAATCTCGCCCCTCTTTCAAGTTTCAAATTTTTTTAGGAACATTTTCTAATGCATGTAGAGCAATTCTCTATTGCGGGGGTTGTAACTTTGGTGGTACACGAAATATTTTTGTCTGTTTCGCCGATTACGTTTAAATGATATACAAAGCATCCCCCAATTGCCTTCTAAACATAAAATCTCGCCCCTCTTTCAAGTTTCAAATTTTTTTAGGGACATTTTCTAATGCATGTATAGCAATTCTCTATTGCGGGGGTTGTAACTTTGGTGGTACACGAAATATTTTAGTTTGTTTCGCCGATTACGTTTAAATGATATACAAAGCATCCCCCAATTGCCTTCTAAACAAAATCTCGCCCCTCTTTCACGTTTCTAATTTTTTAGGAACATTTTCTAATGCATGTATAGCAATTCTCTATTCCGGGGGTTGTAACTTTGGTGGTACACGAAATATTTTTGTTGTTTCGCCGATTACGTTTGAATGATATACAAAGCATCCCCCAATGCCTTCTAACATAAAATCTCGCCCTCTTTCAAAGTTTCAAATTTTTTTTAGGACATTTTCTAATGCATGTATAGCAATTCTCTATTCCGGGGGTTGTAACTTTGGTGGTACACGAAATATTTATGTTTGTTTCACCGATTACGTTTAAATGATATACAAAGCATCCCCCAATTGTTTTCTAAACATAAAATTTCGCCCCTCTTTCAAGTTCCAAATTTTTTTAAGAACGTTTTCTAATGCATGTATAGCAATTCTCTATTGCGAGGGTTGTAACTGTGGTGGTACACGAAATATTTTAGTTTGTTTCGCCGATTACGTTTAAATGATATACAAAGCATCCCCCAATTGCCTTCTAAACAAAATCTCGCCCCTCTTTCACGTTTCTAATTTTTTAGGAACATTTTCTAATGCATGTATAGCAATTCTCTATTCCGGGGGTTGTAACTTTGGTGGTACACGAAATATTTATGTTTGTTTCACCGATTACGTTTAAATGATATACAAAGCATCCCCCAATTGTTTTCTAAACATAAAATTTCGCCCCTCTTTCAAGTTCCAAATTTTTTTAAGAACGTTTTCTAATGCATGTATAGCAATTCTCTATTGCGGGGGTTGTAACTTTGGTGTACACGAAATAATTTTGTTTGTTTCGCCGATTACGTTTAAATGATATACAAAGCATCCCCCAATTGCCTTTTAAACATAAAATCTCGCCCCTCTTTCAAGTTTCAAATTTTTTAGGAACATTTTCTAATGCATGTGTAGCAATCCTCTATTGCGGGGGTTGTAACTTTGGTGGTACACGAAATATTTTAGTTTGTTTCGCCGATTACGTTTAAATGATATACAAAGCATCCCCCAATTGCCTTCTAAACATAAAATCTCACCCCTCTTTCAAGTTTCAAATTTTTTTAGAAACATTTTCTAGTGCTTTAAACCATTCTTTCAGGAACAAAAACTCTTTTTAATCCCTTGTTACTTAATATACGATTTTTGCAATTAAATTAACGTATTGGATCCGCGCTAATAAAAAGTTTTTGAAATCTGTCTTCTCTCTCCTCTTTAATGTTGCTAAAATGTTTTCTTTTGTTTCCTAGTGTCCAACTGCCTTAATGAAACAAACGACATCTTTATTATTTATTTTTTCTGCATTTTTACCGCAATAAAAGCAATTCGAAGTAAAATCTAAGTCTTTTGCTTCCTGAACAATTTGTTTTTGTTCACTAACTCTTCTTCCTCCCTGTTTTACAGCTGATGGGATTAAGCTGGGCCTGTTGATCGTTAATTTACAGGAATTATAAATAAAATCCTTGCGAAGTTTATTCGAGGTTTTTACATCTCAAATCATTTGCTTTGGCCGGTAAAACTAACGTTCTATTTGCAGATTTTGCAAGTTTATCAACAAGCCCAACGGAATTGCATCAGCTATAAAACAGGCAGGAAGAAGAGTCAGTGAACAAAAACAAATTGTTCAGGAATCAGGAAGCAAGATAATTCGATTTTATTTCGAATTGCTTTTATTGCGGTAAAAATGCAGAATAGAGAAATAATAAAAATTGTTTTAACTAAAACAGTTGAGCATAAGGAAACAAAAGAGAATATTTTAGCAACATTAAAGAGAAGCAAGAAGACAGATTTCGAAAAAATCTTTAGTAACATCTAACATGAATTAAAATTTTCAACCATTTACCTCATAATATAAGAACCTGCTTTACATGGAAAAAATTTAAAAAGAAATTGTACGAGTATCTAGTCAATGGGTATTTCTACAACATACAAGAATTTTTTATATCTTCCAATATTTAATTGTTTGTTTGTTTAATTAATGTTATATTGACTTGTTCCATACAAATTTTATTTGTCGAAGGAATTAAATAAAAATGAATGAAGAATGAATGTTGATTTACCATGTCAAAAACCGTGTATATCTTAAAACTGTTTTTCTAGTTTGTCGCTATAGGAGTAATATTTTTTTTATTTTTGTTTATTAAAATATAAGTCTTCCCGAAAATTCTGCTACCCCGCGCAACCTTTGTACGATGAAAAAAAATAGATTTTTCATCCCCTTGAAAAAGATGTGTTTATTTCCGAAATCGTGAGATCTCGGAAACGGTTCAGCATGAAAAACCGGTTTTGAACCGGTAACTAATTTTTTTTGTAAAAAATATTATATAGCCTGGACTATAATAGGGTAGTGGCTAGTCAACTATGGGCAAATCATTCCGTTGCACCCATAGATATTAATATTACTATTACCTAGTGCATTGCATAAACTTAAAAACTCAGGCACTATTTTTACCTACAACTACCTCAAGTTTTATTCAAACTCCACTATTAACCTCAATTACACCACCGTAGACTTGTTTTATTTAACAACGCCGGACGAAACCAATGAGGGATGATAGATATAAGTTATTTTCCCTATTCAAAAACTACGCATTACTCATACACTTAAACTTGTTTAGCTACCCCTTACATTACGGAGAAATCAGTCCACAGCACATTAACAACCAATAGTCAATAAGCGAGTATTCCTCGAAAGCTTACTCGAAACAATGAAACAATTTTTAGGTCAGTAACTTATAATGACATGAATTTCCACCCCAAAAAATCACGATTAGATTTACTTACCTTAGACTTGAGATTCTTAACAATTGACGCATCGATAACTCCAGCATCCTCCCAATTCTCAATGATGTAGATATCGCTGCCCGAACTGGAACACGTCAAGCAGTCGCCGGTATCGTTCGTTGGTATTGGAGATTCGGCACCTGTTGATGAACTAAGCGAGCCCGTAAATCCGGGAAATACGTGGAAACTGCCGTAAGGATTGCTTGCAACGATGGACATGTTGGGGTGGTTGGGCATTTCACCGGCGGTATGCACCTCACGTGCGTTTGACTCCTCGCCAACGCGGGAGGTTGCGATGTCTGCAGTTTTTATCTGCCTTCCTTCATCGAACGGCTTGGGAAAAAACGGCTCGGAGTCCCTTCGTTCTGGACTTCTGGTTAGATTGTGAAAGATCTCGATCTCCTTGTGCGAGGGACAACCTTTCTCGTCCTTTTCTTCTGTTTTGCCAATTTTTAGCGGAGGCGGTTTCGGTTTCACCTCCTTTTTAACAGCATCCACTTTTTTCACTTCGCCACTGTCTTTTGCGGGGCAGGGATCCGTAAATTTGATTTGAATCGTAGTCGTATGCGAGGTCTTTTGGTCCTTAATCACACTACAAGTCTTATCAGTTCTTCGAGGTATCTTAGAGGCACTACTAGGAACTTTATTACCACGTAAGTCGGGAGTTGAATGGAACTTTTTCGCTTTGCTTTCACTACGTGAAGGGCTGGTCGGAACGGACCGCACAGGCTTGGACTTCTTTTTTTGCGAAACAGGAATATGACTAATTGTTCGATTTGTTTTTGTGTCGTTATAGTGGATTTCGATTAGGGGTTTGTTGCAATTCTCGTCGCGCGGTGTCACAATTATTGTCGATTCGTCGGGTTCACTAGCATGATTACTATCACTGTCGGGGGTACGTAGCTTAACTATTTCACCCCCAAAGCGGACGCGCCTTGGTGTTCGTCGAGACTCGTAGTAATCCTCACTATGACTATCGTCGTTCAATACTTTAACGACACCGACTGAGTTACTAGAAAAATATATAAAGGTTAGTGCAATTACATACATCAAGGTACTTCGTATTTTAATAAAAAAGCGCTTAATCGACCCGTACCTGTTTTACTCTATGATTCTAGAAAAGAAACTAAGTTCAATAACTCATGTACATTATACGACTGGGAACGGGAACAGTAAACAAGTTTGCTTGTACAAATGGAATAATAATTCTCGGTACCTAACAAAAATATGTATGTTTTATACATGCACTTGCAATAAACATCTATTGTAGCGAATATTCTAGAGCGATATCGGGGCTAAACCACTAACATGCTGATGACCACCAAGTCTGAGATTACTACTAAAAATTATAACACTTTACAGTGGCATCACTGTTACTTTTGTTTGATAATAAACATTTTTTAATCTCAGGTTGTCATTCAATTATGTGTCTTAATTCAATTTCATTCAATTATCATGCCACATTTTGAACCGAATCGGCCCAAGAGTTTGGCAGCTATCGTTCTCACGGACGGACGGACGGACACCATTGATTCCCCTATCGCTTTGCTCTGCCGCTTAATAATTTTTCTCGAACGGTCTACTGGACTTCAATCATTTCGTTAGCAAATAATGTAAGTATGAGTAAGTCAAAGTAATTAATGCGGCAATTATTCATAATGACTGGTGAATTTATGAGTTAAGCACAAAATTGTAGAGCTCCTTTAATTGTACTGGAATTACGAGCTATTTAAGAGCTTTCTTAACAAGTAATTCCAATTTTTAAGCACCACTCAAGAGCAAATAGATGTAATCGTTGGGGCGTTCAGGTCCACTTCAACGTAGCCCGTCCTCTGTTTTCCTTTACTTATTTAAGTTAATTTTTATTCATGAATTACAAGCTATAATTCTAATTAGCTTCACCCTCAGGGGGGCAAGTAGCTATAAACGTTTGGAGTGGCCAGGTCCATTTCAAATTAGCCTTTCCTCTGCTTATGTCAGATAAATTTTTAGGCATGAATTACGAGCGATTTAAAAGTATCACTTGCAAGTAATTCTAATTTTTGAGCTCGACCCCTATAAAACAGATATACATACTCCTATGTGCAATGGTAAACGGTCACTAAACCATCCGCCTGTCCAGATAGCGCAATTAAGTTCAGACACTAACAAAATCTTTCCTATGGCACTCGATTACGACAAACTGCCATACACTAATCAAAACGCACACCAAAAAGCAACGTTTCACGCCCGCCTCTGCTATTTAACGACTGTTCCTTTCCACACTTTCCGTCTCTACTTCCTTATCAAAATTAATGCGCGTGTTTGAATAACTGAACACCTGTGTTTCTTTCGGCGATAAAAGCATCTGCTTATATTGAAATTAATTAATCTTACGCAGCGGTAACAAACTCTTATCGCACTGACCGGAGATAAACTTTTACAATAACTACACGTAAATATGTCCAAACGAATAAACAATACGCCATTCAGTTTTACAATTACAAATTCAAATAAACAAAGCAAATATTTAAACAAAAATCAAGCATCTTTAAATAAATATTTCTAAATAAAATTAACATTGACTTCAGATTCACATATGATCGAAATTAACTCGTGTTTAGTCTAAATGATGATAATAATATTCACTTTTTGTTTAAAACTTTAAATTAGTTCACTATTTGTGCATAGCTCGTAACTCGTGCATAAAAATTTCTTTGAAATAAGTAAAGGAAAAAAGAGGAGTGTAACGGGATCTCACCGTGAGAAAACTAAAAGGGAATTAACAATAAAGTCAAAATCACTGTTAGGAATGCAAATTCATTTCACATGTAAATAGAATAGGACCATGAACACTACTTTAGGTATGTATATTCGGAATGAGGCATGGTAACAAATTAACCGCAAGGAAAGTCGATAAACATGTCTGTTCATACCGAAGTCGAATTGACAAACGCTTGTAGAAGAGGCGCGCAGAACTTAAAAACGCGCCTTCGTCGTAAGATAGGCGGAACTTAATTACAGTAGACGCTGCGAGAAGGGGTATAAATGTAAGCGGATTTGTGCTCGTAAGTTAAGTGATTCTACGGTCATCTCAGACGCTGAACCTGCGGAGTCAAACCGTCTTCGCACCGATTCCTAGAAGAACGAGAACCAAGGTATCATCTCCATAGAGCTGTTACAGCTCTATACAGCTCAGCTGTAGCAGCGCCTGGACGAAAGTTCCAGCAGCATTTTGAGAACGAGGTACTACTTTCCACAACAGAAGACAGCGCATTTGTTCCATGACCGGTCCGTGCAAAGCCCACCTGGGAAGTCAATTCTATTTACCCATTGAATCAACGATAAACCACGCCTAATTTCCGGTCGGCTTCATACTCGGTTTCATATACGGTTCTAAATATTGAATTTTAATGTCTCATGCCAATGCGAAGTACTTTCAGGATCGATCCGCCTCAACACGATTTATTAAAATGTGTTCTCTGAGTGCAAAGTCGATAATTAAAAAAAAATAAGATCCCTTCAAATTTTATAAAGATTATTGAGTTATTATTTATCCCCTTACTCTTATCATTGAGGCCAGAAAAGGGTTATGAACCGACGAGCAGCCGAGGTATATTAATAGAATCAAGAACCGCCCAATTTTATCAACCAAAAGAAGTAGGAGAAAAGGAAAATTCATCCGTCATATCCGTTACAGTAGAGACTTCCAAAGAATTATATCTATTTGATCTTTTAAGATTGACTCTATAAATTGCATTTGGTTGCAAATGAATGTTCGTAATTCGTGAATAAAAATTAACTTGAAATAAGTAAAGGAAAACAGAGAAGGAACTACGTCCAAGTAGACCTGGTCGCCCCAATGATTACATTATCTATTTCCTTTTTTAAGAGCGGCACTCAAAAATTGGTATTACTTGCAAATGAAAGCTCTTAAATAGCTCGTAATTCCAGTACAAAATTTAATTTGAAAAAAGTAATTCCAATCAGTAGTTGGGTTGAATCCAAGTAGACTCGGTCACCTCATAATAAATTTTAGATTCCTAGTGATTTAAACCAGTTCTTAAACTTTGTGCTTGCAATATGAAAAGCTCGTAAATAACATAAATTGGATACAATTCCTAAGTTAATTCACAATAGTGGGGGTGGGGGCTTAGTCCAGTGGGGTATATTCCTTTGGGTGTACGTAATTATTTTTCTTGTAAATTTGAATTCGCCAACCCAACCGAACCTGTAAGTATAATAATAACAAAGATAGCCATGTTATTCCCTGACACCTTGACACCCTGTATTTTAAACCATTCTGAGATTTCTATGCATTTATTGAAATTTTATGCTTCATATTTATAATTAAGAATCGTGTGAGAAAATAGGTATATCTAATACAAAATTGTGATGCTATTATTTCCGCACCCTGCGCCCTTATAAAACGGGATGAATAGCCATTCAACCTCTTATTAATAGTGGTAGGTATTTGAATCACCGCGTGATTATGGCACATTCGAAGACAATAATCAATTAAGAAACCGTCTTATTTTAATTTAACCCCTTCCATCCTTTACAAGAAGGGATGATTATTTCAACCCCCTATTTAGTTGTGATATTGTACAATTATTAAGATTGTATCCTTTTCGAACATAATTTACAAATCATTATTTTATATGAACATGAATAGTAAATTTTTGATTTGTACCAGTAGGAGGTTGAAAGTTGAATTATGATGCATCCTCTTTGGTAGGGGTGCAAGGTGGAGGGATTTATCACACGATAAATGCAAGATATTTACTCATACGACTCTGAATTATAGACATAAGGTATGAAATTTCGTTAAAATATCAAATTTCGGGGGTTTTGAGGGTGGTACAGGGGAAGCACAAGGGGTGAGAGGTCGAAAACTTAGATTCTTAACCACCACCAGCTGTCTATGACATGCAAAAGAAATTGGAACTACTTCTCATTTTGCAAATTCAAAGTCTCTAATCCCTGGACTAATACAAAAAACGAAGATACTATGGCCCCAACATTAGGTTTTCTACCACCCGCACGTTCGTAAAGGAGGTATTGCTGACACCCCATTTTTTTTTTACGGAAATACATGTTTTGTAGCACCGCGGGAATCTGAATTAGAACTAAGCTTGGTATACGTAAAAGGAAGATGTGAAAAGCCTTTGGACAGAATCGCGCTTGCGTCAGTGTGTGGATATGGCATTTAGGTGGTGCACACTATGAAAGAGATATGTGTCTCTACTAAAAAAATCTTGCACTCCGATTTGCTTCACGGTAGATTCTGGGTCAAGTGATTCGAATTTCTTGAGTTCGAACATGTACTATGCCATTACTATGGTAGGTACCATTTAATTACCAAAGGAACTGCCTTTACTTGTTTAAATTCCGATTGGTATATTATCAATTTCTTCCAAACTTCGGGAATCAATTACAATTGGGACTTTCTGAATTCCAATTAACCGGAATTTCATACATTTTTTAGTTACTACTGAAAAGGTATACTAACGGTGCTATATAGTTCAACAAGAATCCCTATATCTGTGTAGTTTAACGGGATATTAGGTATAATTTCGAATAAAAGAAGAGGTGAAAGCGGCGAATGATGTTAATAAAATATAAAATTCTTCTGTTGTGTGGATAAATATAAATTATATTCCTTTAAGCTTCAATTTACTAGCCAAAATTAACAACGCACGAGTTGTGGATATCAAACCACAATCCATCACTTAGGTAGTACAGATTTGCTGCTATTCGAAAGGAGCAAGTATTTGTGTTTTTTAAGGTCACATGTTATCTTACAGACCAACAGCGAATGAAAAATTCTGTTCAACAACCTAAATTCCATTCCAGAATCTAAAATTCCTTTGAAATTGACTGAAACGAAGTTGTGCCTTAAAAATACTATTTTAAATCCTTGAACAATATTGAAGGAAAACATTCTGATAGATTTATGTATCTTAAATAAATAGATATCAAATAATTACTTGTACTTACCGTCTCTGATCATCACTCTCGCCTCCTCCCAAAACACTTTGCCTGCTCTCTTCGTGAATTTGCATCGTAATCGCCGGTCCAGAATTCAATTTAATCTCAGTCTCTAAAATGACTTTATCCTCTACAATTTCATTTAAAGTTTTTCGGACTATTAAACTTGATTCCACATCGACCTCCTCCACGATATTGTCGTTAAAATCGCTCCAATAATTCCTCACATGGTAAGGAGAGCGTTCCGCACCCCCCTGATTAAAGTTCCTTCCATCAACGTTATAAACGTCGCTTAATTGCTCAAAATCTTTTCGCAAATTAACCGAAGTCGATTCATTGAAATGTTCATCCCCAATTAGCTCCTTAATCCTGACCAGAGCTTTTAACGCAACCTCTTGGTAAGTGATCTGTACCATTTTATCGTATATTACGCGAATGATATACGTAACCGTATCGTGCGATACTTTCTTAATTAGAAATGGTAACGCGATTATGACACCGGTAACGACATTCGATCGCGTCTTACTCTCGCTGGATTTATCGACACAATTTTGCACAATGTTCCTCAAAATGTCGTCCGAGTTATTGCTGCAATTTAGGTAAACCTTTAAGCAGTCGACCGCCCCCTTTCTAACTGCCGGTCCGATGTGGCCTAAATTCGTTACCAAATCTGGAATGATTTGCTGCATTTTTCCGTCTAAAATTCCACTGTCTATCACAGGGATAACTTCTGCGAGAACGCGAAGGGCGTGTTGTCGCACTTCGCGTTCCGGATTCTGGAGACGCTCCTGGATGACTTGGAAGAAGACGTTGAGATCTAGCCCATCTGTAAAACAACTTCGACGGTGAGCGAATAAGTGCATCGGGAAATTTACCTGGAAGAGATTTTGTGCGTACTACGAATTCCCATAGTGGAGTGAGTGAAAATCGACTGTCATGTGCTGAAGCTGATGTAATTCGGGGAGGTGTCGGGGATGCCGATTTAAATGTTCCAGTTTTTAGGGGCGTTGATAACACCTGCTCCGAATACTTAATCATTTCATACACGAATTTAAAAAAAATATTACGCCGGTAGTTCCCGTGACACGGAAGCACATGTTAAACTTGCGAAAGTAAACACATAACTGAGTAGCAAGTACTGGATTTTCCTACCAAAGGGTGTTCTTTAGCCCGCATTGATTACTGTAATCAATAGTCTTTTACCCGTACTTTTCGTACTTTTGTTTAATTACAAAGAGGGATGTTTCATTAAAATTGGTTATAGGTATTATTAATTGCCGTAAGTGTTGTGTCGTGTTTGAAAATGGGAATTTTGCTGCATTGTAATGCTTTGAAAGGTAGATGACCTGCGGCCGTACATGCATGTCATCATTGAATAGGTAATTTAGGTATTGAATACTAGTTTAATGAGGGTGTCACTTACTTGTTTATCAATAATTTAGCTGTGTTTTCGTGTGCCATCTATTTATTTTTGGGGTGGTTTTCGCCCATTAATAGGTGCTACATGAGCATACTCTTTTTGGTCACGCTTTCCATTCTGCAGATTTTGCTTCTGATAATTATTGTAACAGATCTTTAGTCTTTGTGAACCGATACATGATATTATAAATGCCAATCTAATTTGCTCTCGATGGTTGTGAGCTTCTGTCTTGGGTTGCTGAGCCTAATTGCTGAGTGTGAAACCAAATTCGCGCGTTTACAGCAAAGAACCTATTGAGAGGTGAAGCGAAAAGGTGGAAGTATAACGTAGGTGGAAGTTTGTTAGAATTATATCAGTAGATATTCATAACTGGTTAACCTGGACTCCTTCCAGTGAACAAAATTCTACAAATGCTATACAAATAGATAAGTGACTAGTTTTGAGTTAGTTGTCCACCCTCTTCATTCTTCTGATTTAACGTCCTCAGACTAAGCAACAACGCAAAATGAAACTATCCAAAATCGAATTTAATGCTCAGGTAAATAAATGGGTTAATAATAGGAGATAATTTAGTTAATTTAGTTTTCACAGGTAGGTATCTAGTTAATGTTAATAATTTGTGAGTAACATTTGATACTCCAATATGCCTGGAGAACTTATGCAATTTTCATAATTTGGTGTACCTCTGAATTTCAAACCTTTCGTTCCTGTAGTAAAGAGTACCTAGCCATTGTAATTATGAATGCAAAAGGTTACGTTAATTAGAATACATTTATTTTCTTTTTATTTTCGTTTTTCAATTTATTTCTTAATGACCTTGTTACTTTCTACTTTGCAACAGTGTACCATTATATACACATACCCTTTTCTGTTACTGTTTATTTACTTCTTTCTTACTGATTTGTAATAAATATATTCCATTTATTTTTTTTTTACTTTTCCTATAATAATAATGTGAATAATGCAGTGTGTATACGCTTCTATATTTACTTTTATATTTGTTCATTTATGGATTACTAAGAATCTGTTGAACAATAAACGTTACTGATTACTGATTACTGATTACCCACCACCAACGGAGTACCTGCGTCTATGTAAGACCTCCAAGGCACTTCCGCACTATAACGAAAGCTCCATACAGTGACGTCGCTTAGTGAAAAGATATTTACCAACCGGATACAAGAACCAAATCTTGCATGGGGCTTCCCGCGAACCCCTCGCAAAAAATCCGCGTTAAAGCGGTACATGCAATTTTTATGCTTGCACAACTTCCAGTTTGCATCAGCAACCGGAAGTGGACGGTATACTGTATGCTACTACTTTAAAGGTCTTGTCATGGCCCACAAGATTGTAGGGATGAAAAATGTTTGTAAAAATTCAAGTTGGAAAAATCTTCAATTTTCAGGGGTTCGAACCGTTACAAAAAAGGCTCCCACCGACCCCTCAAACTGGTAATCCTTCGGAAATTGTTTGTTACTGTGTCGAATGTGAACAACCCTCACAACTGTAGGTACAACTTGAGAGGTTCCACTCAAGTTACCTTAATTTTACTTTTACACTTCCAGATAGCTCAGGTAAATAAATGGGAATAATTAAGTTAATTTTGATCTTTGCAGGTACTTGGTTAATTTCAACAAATAATCAAAATTTGGGCAAGATGTTACTATCGAAATTGATACTCTAATATATGCCTGGAGGAGATAGGTACGCAATTGTCATAATTCGGCGTACGTTTGAGTTTCTCAGTTTCAGAACCTTTTGTTCCTGTGAGTAATAAGTAGGGAATGCAATACCGGGATCGCGGGATCCCGAAATACCGGGATCCCGCAGCATTTTTGCAGGATTAATCCCGCACATAAATGGAACGGGATCCCGCGGGATTTGCGGGACTGAGGAATTTGTCTACCAAGGGGAAGACTCTGTTTGCTTTGTTAATGAAACGCATAACGGAGAAATTATTTTTAAATTAATTGTTAAATTTTTTTCGTTAAAAATGTGCTATGATTTTTGAGGCACTTTAAAAGTTCACCTTTTTGGGCTTTACAGGTGATTTTTTTGAGTTCTAAGTTAGGCTGAAGGAATTCTTTTTGTTGAATATTGTGATAATTAGCAATTTATTTTAATACATCAGAAGTTAACCGCACAAAATTGCTTATTTGCCAATTTATTTAAAATCTTGCGGGATCCCGCAAATACCGGGATCCCGCGGGATTGACATCTAACGATCCCGCAAATACCGGGATTGAGATTTTGCTGCGGGATTGCATTCCCTAGTAATAAGTTAGTGTTTGTAGTAATTACGATTGCAAAAGGTTACATTTATTTTAACTAAACACACAAATATATCAAGTAATTACAGTTACGTTGAACCTCAAAAAACCTAAACCTAAACTATCTAAACAATTCGAATTTTGGAAAATACTTTAGGACCTCACTCCGCGGGTTAAATTCAAACTTCGTAAATAAATTGTCGTTAATTCCCACGCAAAGTTACCACGAGTTTTAAAGTGCGTACGCCGTTGGATTTATTTATTTATTATCCCTCTCTTGTTCTGGGCCCTCAACAGGCTGCGCCCAATTACAGAGTGACCCGCATAATGCTTTTTAGAGGTGCCTCTGCAGAAGGCCTTAAGTTGTTCTGTACTACTCCGGTATTTACCTTACGAATTAGGAAAACCTAATTCGGATAGTAGCCGGAAAAATGCTCGAAACTGGTCTAAGGTAATTCCCATCTCTGCTACAGATGAAAAATTCACCTCAACCCAGGTACGAACACCCGACCTCCGGATTTATAGTTCCAACGCTCTACCACTGAACCATAAAGCCGGTTATTTAATTAGTATAAAGGAATATTGTCTTTTACCTTATGAATAAACTCCCTTGATTTAACGGGAGTTTGTTGAACTCGATTTGGTCGATGTCGAACCTTGACATTTTTTCTGCGACTCGCAAATTGTCGACGTCGTAGATGACCACGTCCTGGTTGTTATGACTTTTGCAACCCTCGGCTGCAGTCTCCTTGGATAAAATGGACTCCACTAACTTGATTTGTTTTTAAATCGTCCCTGCTCCTTGGTCAAATTTGAAAACAAACGGTAGCAATTAAAATTTGCAAGCAATGAACAAAACGCGTGCTCTGCCGTTGGTTCTTTTTATCGTAAATAGTTCGTGAACCTTTTTAAACTCACTTTGGGAAACTTTCCCTCGAACTTTCCACTCAAATATATTTGCACGTAAGTGGTGGTGCGCGTTAGAAACCTGCGATTAGCATGCGACCTTCACAACGACTTCAATCGCACTGATTAAAATTACCGTCTTGCTTCGGCCAAAGTACATTCCCTCTATTCTAAATTTATACTTACAACAAATGATACGTTTACAAAACCTAATATACATTATATACGGTTAATTACAAAATTTTATTCCTTCACATCCAGGACAAAAAGCATTATGTGTAATTGAAAATATTCACACCGATTACAAGTGATCTTACACTTACTCGTATATAATAATAATAATAATAATAATAATGGTTTTTATTGGTTAAATAATGGTTCCTACACCATAACCAATGGGCACAAGGTCAGGTAAACCCGTTGATATGGTCACCTGTTCTTCACCTTGAAACCCCCTTGTGTAAATACAAATAAATAAAGTTATTCTGCATTAGTTAAAGTTATTTGTAAAGTAAACAATTATTGACAGGCAGCTTATTGTTTGGAGATGCAACGGAAACATCGTAGTGGTTTCAATTACGTTCGCATTAACATTCGCTCTCTAATGATTCGGTGTTTGATGTTTCTTTTGAAGACTGCAGCAGGCAGATACAGTAATTTTGTATTTTTGGGGTTGTTGCAAAATTTACAGATGTTGAATAAGAAAGATCGTTTGAATAATGATAACTTAAACATAGGAACAGATAGAAGTCCCCTGTGCCTCAAATTTAAGTGGTGCACGTCTGTACGAAAGGTAATTTTGCTGTAGAGATACGGGGGAATTTTACTGTTTAATATTTTATGAAAAAATAAAGAAGAGTGAACTAGCCTTCTTTCCATCATATTGAGCCAGCCTAGCATTGGTAAGGTATGTGAAATCCGTTCGAACTTCCTAATTCCAAATATGAAGCGCAAGCATGAATTTTGGACACGCTGGATTCTATCACAGTCTTTGAGTAATAAGCACGGTCCATATACCACGTCGCAATAATTGAACCGTGATAGAACCAGTGCATCACAAAGAACAGCCTTCTGCTTGATGCCAAGAATGTGACGACTAGAATACAAGCATCTTAACTGATAATAAGCCGAAGCAATAAGGTTGTCAATGTACTTAGTAAACCTTAATTTACAATCAATAGAAATGCCCAAATTTTTTACACAATCGGCTATTGGGACAGGTTGGTTACCAATTTGCAAGATTATTTTGTCTTGAATGTGCTTTTTAAGTTTATCGCTACAAAACACGATGAAGCAAGATTTAGTTGCATTTATTTTCAAAGAGTGATTGTCCGATGCCTTGGCTACCCTTGCAAGATCTTCGTTGATCTTTGCCACAGAGGAATTCAATTCGCTAAAAGGAAACGAATGATATAGCTGTACATCATCAGCATAGAGATGATACTTACAATGGTTTAAACCAGACAACAAGTTAAAGGTGTAAAGAGTGTATAACAAGGGTCCAAGGATAGATATCTTAACCAACCGTTTATGCCAGGATGTGCTTGTGAATTACTTTTCAGTAGTTCGGAAAAAAGGAAACTGCCTCATCATCGTCATCTAAACGAAACAGTTTAGAAAATACTAGTATCACCAGAGAACATTGTGCTGTGAACTATTTTGCGGGGTATAGTCGGGGCTAAAATCTCAAAAAAACTCAACGCAACGAAATGGCGTCCAAATTAGCCCAAATTTAAGTGTTTTTCTGCTTTCGATCGTATGTATGTAGTACCTATGCGATCCAGGTGTCTATTCCTATGTTTGCGGGGGCGTAGAACACGAGTAAATACTTAAAAACGAATTTGGTGCATTAAAACAATATTAAAAGTAAAAAATTCACCAAAATTCGAAAAGTTATGTGGAAATGTGTAGGTATTAAATGCTGTACTATGTGTTATGCTCTATATTTTGAATATGTTTTTAGGATTTATCAGAGTATACTGAAATTAATGCTATTCGTCATCCTCACCCTAGTCCATTCATGCACTTCGTTTTACATTTGCACAACCTTGTGCAAGGGGCCCAGAGCTCTTCCTATCTAAAATGGTGACATATAAATAGGCGGAGGTATTTTTCTATTGCCTTAGTTTAATTAGACGTTCGTGTGGAAAAATGCGCAGGTTGTATGTCCCGAACTACCGGACCCTAAGGATTGTGGATGGAAGATCAAAAAACTGGATGTTCACATGACTTTACCTACCATCCATTCCGAAGTCATGCTCGGAGTTTACTGTGTGTGGCTGCAAAGGACTCTGCAGACTGCAACACTAAGCTGCGTGGGTGTCTTCCACAAAGTTGTGCAATTGTCAAGCGAAGTGCATGAATAGGACAGGTGAGGATGATGAATAAAGAAAGTATTAATGTTAATTTACTCTACTAAATAAATATCCTAAATACCTGCTTATTTAATTTTGTGGCAGGGGTACTAGAAGAGTGCTAATTAAACTGACGTGCAGCAAAGTGTAACTGATCAACGTGGTCCTATAACTTCTTTGATTCGATCCCTAACCAAACTCTTAATAATTGGCAGTCTCTATGGCGTTTTTTTAATGAATTTTCTTTTCCTTTATTCTTTTATAGGCGTTTAATCATGAGAAAATTGATAACAACTACTACTTGACATTCAGCACACACTCCTACTCCTAACTACTTAAATAAAAATATATATTTCTTTAAAACTACGTACCTATAGGTACATACCTACCTATGCTACACGTCGTCCTCGCAGACAATACCTGTTTAAAATGTAGCACCATAGTATAGTATATATGGTAGCACGTAGGTAACACATAGCACAGCATTTAATATACACATTTCCACCTAACTTTGTTTTGGTGAATTTTTGTCAAAATAAAGCCTTTTACTAGTATTTTAATGCACCAAATTCATTTTTATTCGTGTTCCACGTCCCCGAAAGTTGGCAGATTCGGATTCAGCGGTGTGGAAATATAGGGATAACGATTTTAACTCAATTGTATTACATGAAATGCTTCTTGCCTTTGGATTTCCGCAAAACGAAAAATAAAACCCGATTATATATGTACCTAGTTCCTATGGTTTCCATAAAACTGTAAAAAGTAAAAAGAGTATTGTCAAAGACTATCCGATAGTCGTTGGTATTGTTTACCAAAATTCTATTGCCAGAAAAAGATGCAAATGACAAACTTCAACTGTAGGTATACATTGTTAACAACATTTACGAAAAACAAGAAAGTTCTCATGGACTATTCTTCTCATCACATCATATCTATAAATTATGTGACAAAATGTTACTATATTCCACAAAGAATTTGGAAATGTGTTTTACGAACAAGGCGTAAGGCAAAAACTAACATTAAAATTCTAGCATTTGTTCATCTCTAAAGACTTTTGCGCTATTGAAGAGTACGTATAAACATTTCCTTTTAAATTTACTATTATCTACTCAAATTCATAGAGTGTATAAGTATGTGGCCTGGTATGTGGTCATTGATGCCGAAATATTCAAACAAATCAAAGTTAAAGCATAAATAATCTTCATATGTGTCAATAAATTAAGCTTTTCAGTTGAGTTTTTATTATTGGGTAGTAATTTCACAAATAGTTGGTGAGAATCTAAATTAGCCTCCTCCTTCCCTGACGCAAGACCTAATAATTCCATCCCTTCTTGCCCCCCCCCCCCACACATTCATTAAACATTACAAACATAAGTTAACAGATATAAGTAGGTAGGTATCCATTATTCCAGATCCATGAGAGTTGAAATAACAGGACAATTTAATTTTTGTTGTTATTTCAATTTATATACCTACTTAAGAGTTTTTCTTAAGAGTGAACATACGAGGTCTGTGTAAAAATTAATGTTCCCAGGACCTTTGTCGTACTTACTACAGTGACTCAATTGGCAAACGAGATGCTAGGTCAAATTCGGCAACACCGCCGTGTTCACTAGTTCAACCACCCTTGTTTCTGTACCCGAATAAACAAATGGCACTGACCTGACGGCCATCCGCTAGCGCCAGGTGCGAAATTTGGTGTTTTGGAACCGTAATGGCGTCCTTCTTAACGCGTTTGTGTCTCGAGGAACCACCATTAATTCAAAACGCTATTGCAAGACCTTGCTAAAACTAAGACGAGCCATCCAAAAATCGCCGAAGGGGTGGACTACAAAAGGCGTAAGGTTGCACCATGACAATGCGCGCCGGCCCGTCTCTCACCAAAGCATGAACTTAAGGACCAAATTTGGTTGGGATCTCCTGCAACATGCCCTTATGTAGCATCTAGTTATTTCCATTTGTCAGAGTGGCCAACGTTTCGAGACGGTCAAGGGACCAAATTCCTCACTAGACTAGCGGTCCAAGTTCATTTCCAATAGTTGATTACTCGTCAACAAAAATTTCTACTTAGAAACATCTGGTGATTATGTTGAATCATAGATGAAAGATGGAAGCTTTCCAATGGTGTATTTTTCAGTTCAAACAAAAAATGCCTTATGCTTATACCCACCTGAAAAAATGTGGGAACCTTATTCCAAACAGTAACCATGCTCTTTCCTTATTCTTTTATACAACCCTCGTACTTATAAACTATCTTTGTTCATTAAAAAAAAGCCATCAATCTAGTAAGTAGGTGTGGTATTCTCAACCATGGGATAAAGCTAAACCTTTTCAAGAGCAACTGAGTTATTTACCTCAAAATTTGACTTACTTTCCTAAGTTTGAATTAGTTATGTGAATGTTTTGTCCATCCACCATACCGAAACTTCCACTCCTCAATCTACCAGGGGACCGTCTCTGTCCTACACCTTTGATTAGAGCTATGATAAAACTAGAAAAAATTACCATCGCATAAACAATGAAGGAGGCAATAACTGATTTGGGTTAGCAAATGTCTCTCATAGCACAGTCATAAATATCTGAAATAAAGATAGAATACAGGATGTACAAAGAGGAATAGTTTAATAAACGAGTATACACACCCTTTCTCACAAACTGTTTACATAAATATATTAATTCGAGATGTCATTAATTAGTGGAACCAATCTTTATGCAAAAGTATGTAGGTAGGTATCTATCACAATTTCACAGTTTATTTCACATTATTGAGTTTGTAGTACAAAGTTAGATCTGAAGACATTTTCCAAATAAAATATTTTACAGTTCGGAGATCCATGCAGGGGTCCAAGACCTGTAACATGCAAAGTTACCGCAAGAACTATGAAAGTGGCAACAGACCTGATCATTGCACATTAATTCTATTTGGTCTGCCGTCATTCCGTTCGTTGGAGCATTCGAATCGGTATCGGCAACGCCGCCCGGCGATCCCGCGTTTCCCTCGCCCAGCAATTTATCGAGAATGTGCTCGGCCACTTTTCGGCACTGAATAAAATCGTTAGCCACAAGACGATCCGGCTGAAATTGGGTATGACTCCACTATCCGACTGTTGGGTCATCCTTACCTTTTTCAAGCGATCTTGCTTCAGTAAGTGAGATGGAACACTGGAATGTGGTTGTAAATAGAATTGAATTTTAATAAACTTTCCTGTGCAGTTCTCCTCCACATTTGAAGTTACCCAGCTTGGCACAGTTTCGTTGAGTAGTGATGTTTCCGTATCGCCTGCCGCATCCCCGACTATTACCCGGTAAAGCGTCCTGCCACCAACTTCACTAGATAAAAAGGTTTGTAGTTTAAAAGAACAAATTCAGAACAGGTAAATCCGGGATATTCAATCTTGAGGGAATAAATTGGGGAGAATGGATTTCTTTAATAAAGTAAAAAATAACACTATCCATATGATAAATTAACCACATACCTAAATATTAGGGGAGTATGAAGGGGAACACTAAAATATAGTTTATTTTCAGGATCAGTATCGACACCTCGCCAATGTTCCAATAAGGCCTGTAAAAGCAGTTTTCCATAGTTAACTTTCTGTTCTGGCTCAGGTGCGTCCTTGATTCCAGCATCTCGGGCGGATACCCACGCCGAGAAACAATCGACTTCATCTTGGCCTAAATGAATTGTTAACATCTGCAAGCTCTCATTGTTAAAATTAAAAGAATGAGTTGCCGCCGAAACGGCCATACCCCAGTCTTTAAATCCACATTAAACCAATTCGGCACGTAAACTATTTTGAAACGATTCTTAATTTCTTGTTGAAAATCCACTTGGCCAAGATCTTCAACTTTTTGGGCCTGCCGAACAAAAAATGAAAATGTACATGTTGTCTGAAATTACTGGCAGCAGGATACCTTTAAAACGTCATAAACGGCAACGTTGTTATCAGTGTCCTTTGTAATAATATGCCGTTTGTCATTCAGCACAACAGCTTGTCGTATAGCGGCACCTCCTGGTATCAAAGCCATTGGCTTGGTAGGCAACTTCGCTTCTTCTTTTATATGCTTTTCGTTTGGAAGTTTCCAACAACGGATATTGGAATCAGAGGTAGAAACCCAAACGCCTTGGTGGTCAGCTGTAAAACACATCCTGAGGACCGGCGCGTCTTCCACACAAACCACAATACTATTTTGAGGATTTTTTAGTTCAGTCATGATAACCTGCACAGAAGATTACGTGAAACTGGCTTCGGAGGTGTGTGACATACTTTTTTATCGCGTCCGCCTGAAATGACATATTGGAAATTTTCAGTCGCCAACAATGCCCATACGGAATCGGAATGAACACGGATAGTTTGAGTACACCTAAAATTGTGGGGAGTTACAAAGGGAACGGCTGAGGCGAGTCACAATACCTTTGCCCACCTAAACTCCACACTTTAATTGAACCATCACTACTGCCAGATATGCAATGTGTCGCGTCCCTCGATACGACTAGAGCTTTAACATTATCTGTGTGCCCTAAAAAAATGACATTCAATTACTTCATCAGATTTGCCCCTTGTAGTAAAACATCCCATTCTCATTAAGTGTGTAACATTGAGAAGTTAAAATGAATGATAAATTTAATTATAGAGCACATTTATTCCCCCCCCCTCCCACCTCAGCCCTCGCGGATGTGCCAGGCGGTCGAGGCTAATCGGCGGTCCGTGCGGATAAAGCGTGAACACCCTTTTCATCCTTGAGTTACAAACAAAGCATTGATCGTCAACGTTTGTGGTTTCAGCAAGATGGCACACAGCGCCAGAGCGTCAAAGACCATTTTTCGCCCCTTGTTTCACAACCATATCATTTCGAGATTTGCTGACGTTTTATAGCCCCATCGGTCCCTCGACCTGTCCCCATTTTTTTCCCATGGGATTACCTCAAGTCACGTGCCAACGAGGACAAGCCCTATTATATACTTACACTAGAAGAATTGAAGAAAGCGATTTAATGATAATAATAACTTTTATTGAGCTTCAACTAATGTACATAAAAAACTTTCCAAGTATCTGTTCTTCCACTTCATCCCGAATTAACAAATTATTGTTATTGTCAAAAACAAAGAACAAAGAGAGAAAGAAAATGCGCGCAATGAACCCAAATGATACATCAATAATATTCAAAATTAATAAAAAAAATAAAATGATTTGCTAAGTGAATATTTACATAAATAAAAACAAAAAAATAATAAATGTGTAAACAAATATAGCAAACGAGCTCCTGAGTAAGGTTATGGTTTGTGCAAAACTAAATTTGAAACCTAGTGTTAGATTTGTATTTAATCCAAGTGCCTATGCATCAAATTTCATTTAAATAAACAAGTTTGCAATTCCATAAATGGTCGAGATGCGAAAAGGGCACTGTGAATGCTGAGTCGATTAAAATTAACTGGAATTACTTATTATATGGCTTAAGCTATGCCCATCCCATATTGAATTTCATGCAATTTGGTTCATAACTAACGGAGATGTCAAAAGGACCTACCTTATTTTTTTGGCCTATATTGCCAATTCGCGAACTCCGATCCACCTTGAAAATTTCATCGTAATCGGTCCACTCGTTTTCGAGATATCGTACTAACGTGCGGACGAACGGACAGACACAACAAAATTATGAACTCGTCACGGGCGGCGCATGAGGAATGTTCTCTGGCAACTGTCATGGCTGACTTTGAGAAAAAAAAAGAAACCGTGCTTTGTGCCGAAATGCGAAACGGAGTACAAAAGTGTTAAACAAAAAACTTCTGTTTTTAAAGCCCCAAAAGATGCGGAAATGCGTAAAAAGTGAATGCTTGCGATTCCAAAAAGTTGTTTTAGGCGTTTACTGAATTGGATAGAGAAAAATTCGGGGCAAATTTTCTAGAATGAATGTAGGTACCTCGAATGAAAAAACCTGATTTTGCCTTCAACGTTTACAGACCTTTCCCGTCGCCCCTAATTTCCGCCTACAATTATCCGTCTATTCATATAAACTAGGTATTCCGTATTTCCATTGTGACATTATAACTATCATCGTTCTTTTTAATTAAAATAATTAATACAAAAAGTTGTCGCATAAATTTAATGAACCTATAGTAAGAAAAAAGCGCGCGGGCTGGGATTCGAACCCGCGTCGTCGTCGGCGGTTAATCTTTATAATAATAATAATAATAATAAAACTCCTTCTTCACAGTAAACTCCATTTAATAAAATTACAGGAATTATTATAATGATTTTTTTTGTTTTGTTTTCCTCTTTCCTGATAGCGTTGGCTATTGTGCCCATCAATAGGTATGTTGGTAAGTACGAATTACATACTATCCCTAGATGTCCAATGTACGTGTCTGATTTTTTTTTGATTTTTTATTTTTTAAGGACCCTACATAACTTCACCAGACACAGACACTAATGGTTGCTTGATTTTAATCCGTGCGATTAGTTAACCAGGCTAGATCTGAGTTCTCACAAGAAACACCGACCATAATAATAATAATAACATATATTTACCCAACAGCATAAGACCAATAACAGGGCAAAACCTTCATAAGCTATAACATGCTAACCATAATGCTTAAGAAAAATTAAGTATGTAGTAAGTTAAATCTAATTAATTTTAATACAATTGACAAAAACAACAAATTTGAAAATATCAGAAACACTCTAATGAGGTACAAATACGTTCTTAGCAGATTCTTAACATGTGACTTATAGAGTCGTTGTGGATATCAACTAAATCACAGATAAGGTTGTATCTAGAGCACATTAAATGGACAGGAGCTCTTGGTAGTAAATTTGTACGAGATTGGGAGACATAAAATGCATCAAGCTGTCTACTATTAAGCCTAGGCACACGAAAATTAATACATGCTAAAAGTTGAGGACAATCAGTAATATTGTTTAGTAATTTATATAAGAAAGTAAGACATTTTAAAGGTATTTTAACCATAAATATTTCAAAAATTTTCTTTGGATATTTTCAACTACCTAAGCTTTTATTATATTTATAGTGGGGGTACCAAATCATTGCGGCGTATTCCAGTCGAGGACGAACTAAGGTAAAATACAAAAGCTTTATAACATCTATATTATGGAAGTCTCTTGTGCTTCTTATTACAAAGCCTAACATTTTGTACGCAGAAGCAACAGATTCTGTAACATGATCATTGAATGACAAATCTTTATCAAATAACACTCCCAGATCGCGAGTACGTATACATTGGGATAAAGTAATACAATTCACGGTATACTTGTAATCAATTTTATGTACTTTTCTCGTTACCGACATAGATTTGCATTTGTCTATATTTAATTGTAATTTATTAATTAGACACCAATCAATCAGAAATTGTATAAATTGATGAGTAGATTTTTACATCATCAGCAAATAGTAGTACATTCGAGGATATTACTTCACATAAATCATTAATAAATATGAGGAATAATAGAGGACCCAAGTTAGAACCTTGAGGAACTCCAGAGGTAGCTATATATTTATATGCAATTATATACGATATGGCGCCTGACAACATACTTCAATGACTTTTTTTAATTTTTCCTTTACGTCCAAATAATAATGTCCTAGTATAAAAGATCGCGACATAGACAATGTGTTACAAATAAACATTTTTTAGTAATTAGCGAAGTAATTAGTTAACAGAAGTGGTTGATGTAATGGGTACCCTACCCACAATGCAGCACTGCCTGTATGGCTGCCTACATACGCATTTTCTTCCATTGACAGCATGATGCTATGTAAACATACTTAGTGATGACGTCATAATACACCAATGACGTGCGCGCAAACTAAGGAAAATCCTATTATATTAAACTGATTACAAATCCATAACTGTATGTCAATATCGTGCTTCGTAAGTGGGCTAAATAGCGTGCCCATCAAAATTTACCCTACCCTGGTAAATTCTGTCTTAAAAAGTATGCAACTGCAAGAGGAAGGGGAAACTGACTCCCAAATGATCTCAAGAAAATGAACTTGCAATGAATAGGAGAAGAAAGGATAAGGGTGAATATTCCAGAGCGCAATTGTTCCTCCCTTTGTTTACAGAGAGTCCAGATGCTAGGAAAGGTTCCCAGATCAAAACAGAACACCTATAGAAAGGAAGCACTTACAAACCCTTGGTTCAGGTGACATTTCAAGCATAGTTGATAGCATTACCCTTAAAAATTACTTATTAATTGAGAAACCGACTCAAAACTAAGGAATTCCTCTTGCATTGACAAGACATGGCCCCTTACTAACAATAAGCTGTAAATGTGAAAGCAGCCAATGTTTACCACAGTGACGTCTATCTCGAGAAACGAAAGTTTTGTATACCCACCTTTAAGTTTAAACAATTTCGCGCACGTTCTAGGATCCCAAAATCTTAAAGCTTTCTCAGTTGACCCGCTAACGATCACACTACCAGAGGGATTCATGGCTAAACTATAGATAGATTCCTTATTTCCCACCAGACTAGAAGCTTAAATACTTTATCAACACATTTAATTCGCAACCACCACAACCACTTACTAGTTACTGTATTATTACTAGCTGTAAGTGCAGTTAAGGTGGTCACATCCCACAAGTAAATTGACTTATCGAGACCAGCCGATGCTACCTGCTCACGGTCCTTTGCGTACGCCAAAGCCTTTACGTAGTCTTTGTGGGTGCGAAGCGTCGACATACAGAAACCTTTGTGCGCATTCCAAACTTTAACGGTCGTATCTGAACTGGCTGATATTACTAAAAGGAGATCTACTGTTGTTTTAGTCACCAGGTCAGCACACTTACAATTCCTTCCATTACAACAAAGCACAATGTCGTTAACCCAGTCAGTGTGATGCTCCATACTTTGTAGGTATCGTTCCTGCTCGTATACTCTAACAATACTGTCACGGCCGGCCGAAAACAAACGGGAAAGGCTTGCATCAAACTGTAGGGCGTTAACGCCGGACCGGTGCTTTTTTTCTTCGGCTTCGCATATTACCATCGATACCTTTCAAGTTGCATTCATTTAAAAGTTGCCATACACAATATGAGGGAACTTACTTGGACTTTCTTCCGATTTGTTGGCCCACCGGCTTTGAGATTCGCCATGCTAATAATTACTGTACATGGTCAAATACAAATAAATAGACAATACAAAATTTATGAACAATATAAACAACTTGTTAATGGTTCATAATAAACATTTGTCATCTGTCAAATGTCAAATTCAGCTGCTCGATTACGTTAAGATAGGTTTACACAGAGATTTCGTCTAAGGCCTGATTTACACCTCAACATAAGCGCCCCCAAACTAAATCTCAAAAACTACATATATATCAATCAATTTGTGGTGCATACAAGAACGAAAAACGTTTCTTGTATCTTTCGTTACAGAGCTAGATTAGCCGTCGTGAGCGGGATGGCAATAGTAGTCTTTAGCATGGCCTTCACGTCGATCTAATGCGATTTTAATGACTCGGGGTTCATCAAGGATCACTTAAATCTATTCTGGCTTTAAAAAAACCAAATTGAAACAGTTGCCGAGTTAATTATTCCAAATACTCGTCCAGAAATGAGAGGAAATCGCCTTCGATGGACGAGTTGAAGAGCTGGAGAACAAGAAACCGTTGCACGTGCCGATTGAAATGAGTTTAGAAAGACCTTTCGCAAAGCCAAGGCCGCGATATATATAACCACAAGTAGTGGCGAATGCCAATAGCTCTAGGTACCTGATATATAAAAGAGGCGCCGTGAGGTGACCGCCAACTATTCCTTTAGAGATTATTAGACAAACATATATTTGATCAACGTAGGAAAATGTGACTCTTTGTTCTTCCTATTACATACAGAGCTATTCATTTAGAAGTAGACATAGGGATTTCCTATGTCTACTTTTAAATGATAAAAGTACTATTGAAAGACACCTAATTTTATGAAACATAAATAACATGCGCACGCATGTTGCATTGTCATTTTAGATTTTAATAAAAACGACAGTAAATAGTGTGCTTTTAGGTCGCTATTTCCCTCAAGTATCATATGGGATTCTTTTTCTTGTTTACGTGGATGGCATTTCAATAACTACTAATTTTAAAGTAATCAACACAGAAAATAAGTCTCTTACGCTCCTTAAACTATTACCGGCCCGATACCAATTGACAATATCAAGTTTTTCTCCAGTTGAATATATCGCACACGAACGAAAATAAAAATACGGAAGCAATAATATTTCAATTAATTGATATGACAGCAAAATTTTCATTTGTTTTAAGCAGTTATTTTAGTTGTATAAAATAAGGCGTTCTTCAGCAGTTTTTGTCATTTAAAACTAGACATAGGAAATGTCTGTCTACTTCTAAATGAATAGCATTGTATACAGTGATTCCCATTACTTCCGAAGATATGCTAGAAAAAACACTTTCTCATTACAAGAGTTCTACTAGACACTGTTGAGATAATTTCAATACCACGTTTCGTTTCGGAGAAATCATCAACTTAATTGTGCCGTAAAAAAAGTACATACTGTATTGAGTAGCATTTTTAATTACGAACGGCGCCATAATCGTACCAGAAAATCTATCGGACAATTATATTTTGGACATCACCTTTAATTTAATGAACAATTTACGCTTCTGAAAACCCATAGCAAGAATTGCCAGTTCTTATATATCTTTAAAATCAAGGATATAGAGTGAACAACACGCTAGGAAACTGTCTATATATGAAGTCTGTAGACCCAGTAGAAGCAAAGTTGTAGCTCATGAAAAGTATAGGTTCTCATTCGTCAAATTCCAAATCGAGTACTTCAACGTGAAATAACAAAAAAATGAAGCACTTTTCGGGGAAAACTTATGAATACTTAATACTTATACTTTGAAAACACCTTTCTTTTTGTTTTTAAGAAAAGTTCCTAGCATCAAAACTAAGTGAGTTACGCTCAAAATAAAGTTGGTCCTTTTTTTAGGTAAAAAAAAATCGAGAAAATCGCCCCCTAATTAGCACCCCAATTGTATTAAGCGTTACCGCTTTACAGTTTACTTTATTTATGTATTGTTTATATGATCTGTAAGTTTGACCGGTGCAAAGTGCTTATTTTTGAAAAATGTAGTTTTGAAGTAAAAAAAATTTTGAAATTTTGAAAAATTGCCTTTTTTTTCAAAATAACTTCAAAAGTATTAGTAATTAACATTCGTATAAAAATTAATTTTATTTTTTTCTATTTGTTATTTAAAATCTAGAGATCTAAGATTTATATTTGAAACAATAAGGGTTGTTTTTTTAATTGAAATAAAATAAATTCGTAAAATTTTAATTAGAAAAATTACTGTATATATATCTAGTATCAACGAAGAAAAAAAATTACTACAACTATTCGAATTTCTTCGCAAAGGTTGGTTTTTATAAGGGTATAAATTATCTGGTAAAAAATAAAAATAGGAAAGAAATCTAAATTTAATGTTATTGTATAATTAAATAATCCCAAATTGCTCGAATTTACAATTATATGATTAATAGGGGTAGTTTCCACCCCTAAAAAATAAACAGCAACCAACGGCACAAGTCCAATTTTGAAGTGGAGGGTAAGAATAACCTAAATCCAAATTTTCATGCAAATCAGTGGAGTCAAAGTATTCTATGACATTGTTTTAAATATTACTATTTTAGAGATAAGATTTAGGGATTAAACTGTGATAAAATCTTAAGTTATGTTGTTTAATGTTAATTGATATTTCTTCACTCCTTTAAAAGATTAAATTTGCAATTACACAATTTTTTTCTAATAGGGGTAGTTTTTTCCCCTAAAAAATAAAAAGCAACCCTGGGCTCAAGTTCAACTTTGAAGTGGAGGGTAAGTAGAACCTAAATCCAAATTTTCATGCGATTCGGTGAAGACGCGGAAAATTACACAGTATCGCCGTATTCCACGTTCATTTACTGGCCTTCGCGAAAAAATATATTCATTCTGTTTTGCCTATATGGTGCGGCAAGCTAGGACACACGGTATAAACATTTTGGGGTCGATTTTAACTTTAACATCTAAAACGTTTGATGTGCACCTATTTTGTAGGAAATGTTTTTCTCCGCAATTTTCCTCTCTTGAGATTTTTTCGTTAAAATGCTTAGTTTTAGAGTTAAGAAAAATTTTAAAAAAGGTGGATTTTAGTCCACTTAGGGGGTGGTTTTGTGGTGACGGGCTCAACGCCTCGTCGCTGGGGTTTCAAGGTGTATTTAGTACCTTGAAACAAAGTACCTTGCCAAATTTCAGTTTATTGTCTCTCATTTATTGAACGTCATCTGTATGGTTTATTGCATATAATAACTATAATAATATATTAATGATTATTAAGACTTTTTCGCATTGCTTTTAGTCCTGCTGTGAGATATTGAAATATTTCTGTTACAAATAATATCCTCTTCTGCTTTTTGTAAAACGACACTTGCACTTTAATACAATGCTTAAACATTAACAATTTCAAGAATTGTATGCGTAGGAATTAATGTGTGGAATTAAAAAGAAAATCGAAATCGAGATCAACTTATGGCAGGTGTATTTTGTAAAAGCAGGTGCGGTTAAGTCATTTTCTATTGGTCCACGGGCACGTACCTAATTTTATTGCTAGAAATTGTAAATACGCCACCTTTGATTAGGAATTAATTTCCCAAACAACATAATCTTTTACGTTTACAACACAAAAATTAAAAGCTTCGCATTAGTGCAGGATTCATAATATTAAGCTGAATAGAAACTCTCGGGGGTCCCAATTCACATTTCTCTTCCCATAAAAAATGCGCACCAGTTTGTCCACGAGCGAAATATTTTTTTATAGTGGCAGGTGTACCCACCTATCGTCATTATTAACGGTACATGAAGGCGCCCTTACGTAAATGCATATACGACGTAATTCCTATCTTTTAATGACTTTGAAATGTGATAAATTAATCGAATGATGCTAATTAGTCGTTTCAAAAGCAGTTTACTTGTATCGCCATCAAATTAATTTCCGAAAAGTTTATAGCCGTCGTAATTTAAATTAACTTGTATTTAGCCGCAATTACTTCATGATCAATTTTTACATGCACGTATAGAGAAGGGCTTTTTGTTTTACATTGACTTGAAAGTTTAGGGTTAGGCCTCCAAATTGAAATGAGAAAAAAACTACGAAACGGACAGCAATTAATTCGTACAATTAGCTGGGATGATCCATAATGCAAAGCACAAAGTCTTGTTAGAAAACTAAACTAAAATATCCTTTTAGATGATAAAAACGAAACTACTTTTTGACATAATTACCTTTTGGAACGGTACCTTTCTAACTTCCCAGCTTATATATCGTGAGTGATTTGGCGTGATTAATAAGTGGTAGTTGTTATACGCATAAAGATAATTAACACACCAATAAAGTGAATACGAAAAAAATATATCAATAAAGCTTTTCGTTATAATCGGAACTAATTAAGTAGATGATTTGAACAGGAAGACCACCGAAGTAGATCCAGTCACCACATAAACGTAAGGTATTCCTAATTATGAACCGTTTAATGAGTGAAGGATAGCATCAATAAACTGGATTTTAGTGCACTAATTGATAGTAGAGTTTCGCAAATTGTGAGCAACTTTTTACCATTTCGCTAATTTGAGTAGGTGCTACTGATCTACTTACAGAAGGTGATTGCATGTGAAATTACATGTTTTACTCGCAATCGGGGACAATTCAAAAAAAGTGTAAAATTGGTAATTGTCATTTCAGCGATTCAATTTTACATATTTATTATTCAACAAACTTTCTTTGTCTGCCGGTAATTTAAAGCGCTTAATTTCAAAATTCCAATAAGGATGATTTAATCATGGAAACGCGTAGCCTCCTTTACGTAAGCGAACCAACTCAAAAGATATACGAAACAACTATATGCATAGTTTTCTAATTCATCATTTTTGCAGTACTTTTGCATGTGTGTACAAAAATAAATGAAATATAGGAAAGCTCTTTCATTCAAATCCAGGCTCAAATCTAACCAGAGCTATTATTGGCTAGTTGAAAGTAAATCTTCAAAAACGCCTACAACAGGATATAGAGTATCGATTCACATAACTCCAGAACATGTAAAACAACGGTTATAGAAAGGGGCACATTGTACCTTAGTAAGCATGCGTTACATCCCTCTCTTCCTCACTGTAGTATAAATTATAAGGACGTTTTATAATAAGCATGTATTTTCTTA